TCATTGATCTGAATTTTTTATTTAAATCTTTTATGAGAAAAAAAATATTATAATAAAATTATAATTTTAAACGAGAGAAACAAACGGACTCTGAAATTCATACTAGTGCCAATTTTGTCTTGTATTGCATTTAAAAATACCTAATCAGTTTAGGATCTTCTCAGTTGTTAATTATTGATTCAAAACAATATGTTATGAACTTTATTTCCTTGACAGATTATATTTCGAGCTTTTATTTTTAGCCGTTTTCGTCAGTGATATGATGTATTTATATAATTTATAAGACGTAATCACGTGCTTATCTCAAATTTGTTATGGTAAAATATTTATTTCCTTTTACGTAATCTCCAATTGACTAATGATTTACCCACTAAAATCCCTTTTTCAATGATATGTTCAACTTTATTTTTCTTAACCATATCACTATTTTTAAGAGAATAAATCAACTTTGAAGAAAATTATGCATATATATTCAAAACAATTAAACAGGATGTAAGATGACGTTAAACTTATATATTTAAAATTATAATTTAAAATTATTTTTATTTTATGTATAATTTTTATAAAAAAAATATTATAAAAATTATAAATTATGATTCAACGTTCCTAAATGTTACGCGCCTCTGACATGCCAAATAGTGAGGTTTTGATGGTCCAAAAAAATAAAATATAGAGGTATTTTTGTTCTCTCTTTTTTTAACAGTGAGAAATAGAAAGGTTAATTCAGACCATTTTTTTAGAATTAAACGGTGAAGGGGAATGTGGGACCCGCATATCTTGTGGACTCGTGGGACTCGTGTTAAATGCAAGCACGTTTTGATAAAAAATAAAATCAAGAGTGGTTTTCTTTACTGAGCATTTTTGGTGTTCAGATTGGCCTTGTTGGCTATTGCCGTGTGGTTGCTAACGTGTCCGTCACCCAGCATTTATCACAGCTTCCTGTTATTGGATAGATCTGCATTTCCCGAGACGATATTTTTCGGATAAACGGCACGTGTTTTTTTTCCTTTTTTTTACCCTTTATCTGTTCACTAATTTAAGTTTAAAATTTTAATTTTATTACAGTAAAAAAACTTTAAAAAATAATCACATTTAATTTTTTTATTATAATAAAAAATTATCACATAAAATTACATATCAACTCGAATTAAAAACTCAAATGAACGAACTAAGGCCCCGTTCATTTTACCGATTCGAGTTTAGAATTTGAGTTTTGTTACAGTAAAAAGCTCTCAGAAACAGTCACATCTAACTTTTTACTACAGTACAAAGTTCTCACATAAAGTCACATCTCAACTTAAATTAAAAACTCGAATCAGCAAACTAAACGGATTCTAAACGTGCCTTTAATTTTTTAATTCGAGTTTTTCATTTTAATTTGTTACAGTAAAAATAATAACCTTTTTATTTTTTTTAAGAAGTTAGGACGTACATGTTTTTCACTTAACAGTTCAAATGTGATTTAAAAATGATCTTATATGTTATATTTTGTTTTGCGGTTTTTGTTTTTTAACGTTTTAGATCATTTTTTTCATCAACCAATTGCTACTATATATTATGATGATGTTAATCTTCAGTAATGCATTTGATTATATTAGTATAATTTGTATTTTCATAGAGCCTGCGTATAATGTTCATAACTAGTGAATTTTTTCCGTTTATTCTTTAGTTTATAGATGTAGACACATTGTCAAATAATGCTAAAAATATGTATTTTCTTTAATTTATAATAGTCTTCAATCCTTAATAATTAATGCATTTATATTCTCATTTTCTAATATAGTCTAAAAATTATCTCCGGTAGTGCTTCTTAACCCCATCATAAATTTTTTTAACACTTAAAAAAATTACGACAAGGTAAAAAAATTATCTTATCCGTATTGTAACTTTGCTTTTGAAGTATCGTGTATTAAGTTTTACCAATTTTACATATTTTTTTGTTTGATTTTTAATTTAATGTTAATCTTTTTAGGAACACACAAATACGGTGAATGCTTTAGCTTTACCTACAAAAGCACAAAAGTTTCGTGGGAAAGAAAAGAAAAGGATAAAAAAAGAAAAGAAAAGAAGAATTCTCAAGTTTTAAGTTTTTAGGCGTTTCCCTTTCAATTATGCGAATTGCGAGGCATTGACAAATATTTGTCAACTTTTTTCCTCTGCATCTTTTTGCGCACGTGTGCAACTTCTCCCCACCAACCCAACACGTGCACTAAAAATGCTATGTATGTATGTTTTGTTTTTATTTTTTCTTTTTCACACTAACATACAAATGTTATCCACCTCAAGGGAAAAAAAAATGTAGATTTCTTTTATAGATTCTCAATGGGCTATTGTTATTTTTTATCACAAAATTTAAATTTATGAACCAAACGATCATATATTTGCAGTGTTCAAGTTTATAGTAAAATATGTAAAAAAAATAAAAAATTTACTCTTAAAGTGTGAGTCTGGACCTTTATTTCTTATTCTTGATAAATACTTTTTATTAGTGTAATTATTTGACTAAAAAGGTTATGAATCAAGAGTAACGAATAAAAATTTTGATCCATGTATTTTCAATGAGTATTTGTCAAGATTACTCAAATCTTTATGAATATGATGTGATTTAACAGTCGAAAACTGACCTTACTTGTAAGGATGTCCTACCATGAACAGATCTTTTTATGTTTTTTTTTACTCTATCTTGCAAGACCTCTTATCAGTATGACTTTTGTATCACTGTTTAATTTGATTAAAAACACATGAGACTGTAAAAAATACACAGAACATACAATTTCTGATATAAATGTAGTGGATGTAAAATAGAGACTTTTGATAGTTTTTTTTTATTTTTTTATTTTTTATTTTATACTTACTAGAGAAATTTTCAAAAGAAAAATAGAAAAGAAAAAGTAAGGAACCGATTAAAAAATAAATAAAATAAAATAAACGCCGTCCCATAATAGGAGATTCTGATATTAATTGAGGCAATCCAAATAGCTCAATGAACCAATATTTTCGCGGCAAGGATATTCTTTAACAGTGTAACCATATTTAGGTAGTTGCGAAAACTTATTTTTCGGATAATACTCCCGTGGAATTATGAAATATTTTTTATTTTTGAAATGAAAAAATATATTTCAAAATATAAAAGGACAATACAATCACCAACGAAAATACAATACAATCACCAAACATCAAGCACACCTGACTCTTTAACATATAGTATCTTCAAATGAAATTTTTTTGATTCCTAAAAAAAATACAAATATATGGATAGGAAAATTATTGAAAAACATTCTTTGTATTTTGAAATTTTCTTTTTATATATCCATTCCATATCTAGAAATCATGGAAAACAAAAAAGAAAACCCGTTCAAATTTAGAATCTTCTTCAAATATCTTTCCTTAGTTGATTTCTCATATTTACCCTATCAAATACTTTTCTATAAACATCAAGATATTAAAAAAAAAGAGATTTCTACTCAAACACCTTTTAAATTCTGTTAAAAGAAACCTTTCAATATTATCAAGTAAACACCTATATCATTCTAAAAAAAAATAAAAAAATAAAAAAATAACACCTACATACAAACACTTATACGATTTTCAGAAAAAAAAAAAAAAAGGGATTTCTCAGTTTTTATCCATATTCGGAGAGAGTTTATTGACGATAAGTTCTGAAAGTTAAATCTCACATAATTTCTCCAACATGACCAAGTAAGGAAAGAACGTATCACACAAAAGGATTTTTTTTTTTTTTTTGAATTCTAGGTATAGAAAGTATCAGTAATAAAAAACATACAAGTGAGGTTTTAATAAATTTGCTACAATATATAGCAACTGTAAATCAAAATTAATCTTATCATTTAATAAACAATAATCAACTGTATCAAAAAGAAAAAAAATAACAGATCAATTTATTGAACTAAATAAATTAAATATATACCGTCTGTTTTAGGTTTAATAGGAAACTATATCATCTTTTTTTTTTTTGAAATGTACATTATCTATTTTGGAATACATTAGTTGTATATGTGGACATTTTAAGTATGTATAAGTATACACGATTGATGCATAATTTATTATTATTATTATTATTTTCTTTCGAGAATGATTGATGCTCAATTTTAACTATTGAAAAATATGAGAATTCTTAAAATTTTGAAATAAAAAACAAAATACAAAAAAAGTAATAATAAACAAATGAATACACACACAGGGAAATCCTTCAAACCCTGAAGCCTCTCTCAAATTTTAAAATACAAGATTGGATTCTTGTTTTATTTATTTTTTCTTTTTTTAATTTTCGCTGGATTTTTTTTATACTTTTCAGTTTTATTTACTCTCTTTTTTTTTTCCTCTTTAGAACATTTTGATCCTCTCAATAGTCAAAATATAATATTGACGAAATAATGGTGTGGATTTTACACATGAAATACACAAATGTACAGTTACTGATATCCAAAAAGATATGCTTTTTTAAACCTAAAATACAAGGTATTAAATTCACAATTCATCTTCAAATTATCCTTTGTATCTAAAAAGACCAAAGAAAGAAAGGGTAATTTAATTTTGGATAGATCAATGCATACTTGATTTGGTTAGTGGTATTGTATATGAGATTGTAAATTGAAATTGATTCTTCGAATTATTACCTAATACTATTTTCCAAAAAAAAAAAAAAGAAAAAGAGATAATGGACGACAAGGCCATGCACTGAAGAGTTTAGATGGGGTGAAGTTGCGGGTTCAATTCGTATCAAAAAGAAATAAAAGGGCCATAATAAATGAAAGCCAAAAAGGAATAAGAAAGAATGAAAGCCACAAATTTAAATATATAAGAATAGATGGGTCAATATGCAAAATAGTAAAGATCACTTCCAAGGTGCAAATTGCAAATAGAATAAAGAGACGTAGGTGGTTTTTTTACTGCCGTCCCCTCTCTCCCTCTGTCTCTCTCTCTATTATCTCTCCCTCTCTCTCTCTCTATTTTATTTTTCTTAAAAAAAAAAACTCCTTCAAAGTGCCTTGCATTGCATTGTACTGTGTACATGTATCCTTCTCACAAACGGCATATTCCAAGCTATATATATAGTATACATGTCAACTTCTCCCACTACTTTCAATTTTCCTTCTCTACTACTTTTTCAAAATCAGTTTGTTATTCTTAAATCTTAAAAATCTCAAAATTTCCACAAAACCCATTTTCAAGTTCAATCTCCGGATTCGGTCTCTCCAACCAATTATCTCCACAATCCTCGTTTCTCTCCCTCAATTCTCGATTACCCATTTCTCAAAAAAAAAAAAAAAAAAGAAAAAGAAAAAAAAGAAAAGAACTCTCTCTCTTTCTCTACTGTTGTGGAGACTGTTGGTTTTTCTTGTCTTCTGAAAAACAATGGTGGTGAAGAAGATAATGAGATGGCCGCCATGGCTATGGTCGAAGAAATTAGAAGTAATGTTGTCGGTTAGAGGGCTTGAAGGGCCGAATTTGGGAGAGAAAAGGGAGTTATTCTTTTTTGTTGACGTTCAGTGGAAGGGACAAAAAGGCATGGCTTTAGGACCTTTGAGACGGTCGACAAAGAAGAATCTGACCAAAGAATACTGTGTTGGCGATCGGGGAGTGGTGGATTTTGATGAGGAGTTTCGAAACGTCTGTAGTTTCTCGGGTCCCAAGGAAGGTCTGTTTTATCCATGGGAGCTTGCATTTACAGTCTTCAATGTGAGTCCCTATATAATATAGTATATAGTATGTATATTTTAGAAACTATGTACACGTATTTCTATGTTTGTTTGTTTGTTTTTGCTTCGTTTTTCGTTGATGTGTTTTAACTTTTGATGCTATCCGTTTTTTTTTTTTTTTTTTTTTTTTTTAAAAAAAAAAAA